ATTATTAATTTGAGAAGTTTTATATAAGTTATAATATGAACCATAATGATGAAGATGAGGTGAAGAAGAAGATGTATTATAGTATTTATCATAATTTTCAGCGTCAATTGAAGGAACAACAAATGTTATCTGTGACAATAATTTATATATTATTGCAGGATTCTTTTGAATTAATTCTGAATAATGTTGAGCAATAATACTTAATGACTGAATATTTGAATGTTGAGCAATAATACTTAATATCTGAATATTTGATTGTAAATCACAATTATCCTTATCATATGAGCATATACGAATACAACTCCTGCATAATTTTTCAACTAGCAAGTCTTTGTTTGATTTTAAAAACTTCTTCATAAGTATTTTTCCATAATACGCTAAAAAAAAATTTTCTTCAATATAATTTTCTAATAACAGATTATATAAATTAGCGCTGTCTTTATCTGGCTTAATATTAGCTTCATTGATAATTCTATCAAAGTCAGATGGTGGAAGAAATCTTTCTGCCGAAGACTTACTAAGTTTCTCCCAATATTCCCAATATTCCTCGTCTAAAACTTTGTCAACACCCCAAATGTAATGCACTCTTATACCTTTGGATGGGATAAATGTCCAGAGAATTACACACTTTTCTGTAACCATGACAAGATCATCATTTTTAAGAGCTTGACATTGTCTTACGTATAAATTTGCTTTTTGCTGATTTTTTTCATGTACTGGTTCTCGCTCATTTTCTAAATGTACTGGTTCTTGTTTATTTTCTTCAGATATTTCGGATTTTTTTCGAGAGACTTCAAGAGTAAACGTAACATCTTTACAATTTAAGGTCCATGATAAATACCTTCCGTATGTTTCAGTTCCTTGAATATAATAATCTCTCCTGTCAATGTTTTTTTTTAAATCGCTGGTAATGTTTTTTATAAAATTAATAATGTCTTTTTTACCAAGAGGTGTCGAAATTTTATTGTAATCAATCAAATCATTTCTCAAATAATTAATCCATTTTTTTACAGATTGTTTTATCAATTTTTCAATAAACAATTGTTCATCATTCGCATAAATAATGCTGTCTGATTTAATAATGTATGGCATTTTAATTTTAGCCTTTAAGCGCCTAAAAAGTTTATCAGCATTGACAGGATTCATTAAAGTATATGGATCCATTAATTCATAATCAAAAGTCAATTTTTCATCGTGAAATCTATGAACATTATGAACATTAAGATCCATTTTAATTCTTTCTAAGCTATCATGCACATGTGATGTGATAAGTACGCGTTCACCAAAATTAGAAGCAATAAAATGAATTCCATCAATCATAACTGATTTCTTATCGTTATAAGTATCTATAATGTAGTAATTATAATAAACATTTATTATAATCTAACAATCTGATTTAAAATTTCACTATACGTAACTGCAAAATAACGTGATCACATGTCAAATTGTGTAATAAATTTGAGCTTAATGTTATGATTACGTTATATTATCAGTATACATTAAATTTGGATGAAACTTACATTTTGATAAATTCATCCCTGTTGTTGTAGAAAAAATGTATAAATACGTTAATTTTGAACTGCTTGCAGATATTCCTAATAGTTCCTCGTCGTCACTTATTAAGAAATTTACAACCCTAAAAAAACCATAAAGTCTTCTCTGCATTTTCCTTATTTATACAAGAATATAAGTCATTTATCC